GTATCGGTGGAAGTCGAATGTGCTTGTTTTCAGCGAGGTGTGTGTAAATTCTAGTAGCTCTCTTTAACTGCTCTTCCTGCGTCTCTTTCTCTTCCCCGTCCTCTCTGTCTCCTTCCCTGTGTCCCACAGCAGCTCGGGGGTGATCACCCGAGCTGGACAAAGATCTACGGTGTCCTGAGAGGGACAAACCTCTCCTGTTACCACCGGCAGGAGGATGTGGAGGCCAAGGTGGAGCCAGCCTTCACTATTGCCATCAACAAGGTGAGCACCGGGGAGGAAAACGACCCACAGGCCTTTCGAGACTGGATCTGAAATTTAGGAATTGTCATTTTAATCTCGAGCTTGCTTGGTGAATAACCCCTTTTTTAAATTGTCAGAAAAACGGAAGTGTCTCTGTACAGCATCCCTGCAGTGCTGGTAAGGATTGCGAGTTGTATGGACTTTTTCTCCACAGTTCACTGTGGTAAAACTGTGGTCACTGGCAGTTTTCTGGACACTCCACTCAAAGCACTATATATAGAACCTAATTTTAATTAATTTACTTTTGAGAGGCAGGCCTCTATCTGACATACTGATGCTTTTTTTCTTGCAGGGGAATTTATTCGGTATTTATGCATTTGTACTAACAAGACAACGCCGTTGAACCGGTGTCAAGAGACCGGTTTCCGAGAGGCCAAATAACTTTTTTTTTAATGATGTGCTGTCCTCTTGTGGCACCAGGGTATATTACATCAAACAGAAATGTTAATGTTAATGTAGCTCAAGAGATATGATGTAACTTTTTGGAAATTTGTTCTTGACATCACCACACAAAAACCATACTCAACAGAACATAAATACTCATAAAAAACACAACAGTCCTAGATATGCACCAGTACATGTACTGTACGCTTATCTAGCCCCGACCGTATTACACTAGAGAAGATAAGATCACTTGATTGGCCATAAACAATTTCTTGTATTAGGAATTTGTCTTTTCGCATACCCCAGCTTGCTCTCCACGAGACACACAGACACGAGAGAGAAGCTGGGGTCAGAGAACAGGGTCAGCCATGTATACAGTGCCCCTGGAGCAGCTGGGGTTAAGGGCCTTGCTCAGGGGCCAAACGGAATAGGATTCCTCTGCCGGCGTGGTGTACGAACCGGCAACCTTCCAGCCACAGGCTCAGATCCTTATCCATAGAGCCACCCCACCCGGGAGAAGGAGTTTGCCTGGCCAGTACAGGCATCGATCCCACGACCTTGGTGTTATTAGCACCACGCTCTAACCAACTGAGCTAACTGGCATGACACTAATCCGATACCTTCATACAGGGAACAGTCACTTAGCTGGGTTTAATATAGCAGAAAGAGGCGTCAACATTAACGACGAATATGATAGATCATTTTAATTATCTTTGAAAATACATTTTGTTTTTTGCCTGTTCTGAATAGAGGCATAAAGGCAGATAAGTGGTTTTCTCATTTTTAAGAGGACCTCTTGGATTAGATGTATCATAATGTTTAACGTTAATAATTTTCAATTATTTTTTTATGATAAGCAATTCTCTGGCATTCGGCATTCTTTTCTCCTAAGTGTTATTTGACTTCCTTTGTAAAACCACGTAAAGGTGTACCTATAAATAATAAAGCCTCATCTTTTTCCTCTGGGCTGTGCAACTTGCAGAAAAAAATAAAATGAAGTGTTTCTTCCTGTAGGCAGGGTGTGCCTGGTTTCTTCATAGTGCAATTCCTGTGGTTTTCACTGGAATACTGATAGAATCTGAAACAACTTCATTCCTGCTTCACACTGTGTAGCCTGGTCTCCACAGTGAGGTTTTGGCAGCTGTAGTTCCTTGTGTCCACCAGGGGGCCCTGTAGACATTGCGCTGTGTTATTTCGAGATGAGTTTAATTCGTAATAAATGTTAATATTCCCAATACCTAGGGTTGTCATAATGAAAACAAATATTTCCTCCAATTTCTAAGATTACCCTGTGCTGTTTTACATAAAAACAACAAGAGTAACTGCATTTAACTTTTTTTTCCGCCTTGGCAAAGAAACAAAGACAGTGACTGACAGCTTCATCTCTCTTTCCCTGATTGTAATCTAGATACCAGCCTTTTTGATGCCAATACACATAATTAATCTTCCCAGTGCCATCCTTGCACGATGCATTGTTAATGTTTTCTGTGTTGGGCAGTGGGCTCGTCTCCAGACTCAATATCTCTGTAAGCGAGCAATGTGTTATCTCCTCACCCGCCTTTATTAAGAGCAAAAGAAGAGAGCTTTCTTAAGGAAGATGTGATTAAGGAAATATTTAAGCTTTTTTATGGATGTGAACAGTGAAATCTAGCGGTACTGTGAAGAGAGAGAGGAAACGTAATGCATGATGGCATCAGAGTTTGTCCCCGTGCCTTTTCAGCAGTCATTGTTTTCACTGCTGGGAAATTCACTAAACGTGTGCAGGATACAAGGTGCGAGTGAGTTACCCACACAGACTGGGACAGGAGGCAAGGCCGGGTGGGGGGTCCGAGGAGAGATTTTGTCTTCCCCTGCCTGTACATCATGCCTTGTCTTGTCATTCTCGCACTGACCTGCGTGTGTGTGTGTGTGTGTCCCAGGAGACGCGGATCCGTGCCACGGAGAAGGATCCCAAGAGCAAAGCACAGAGCATCTCCATCAGCAACCAGTACGGCAGGGAGGAGGTGACCCACACGCTGCTGGCCGACAGCCGGGAGGAGACGCAGCGCTGGATGGAGGCGTTCTGGCAGCAGTTCTACGACATGAGTGAGTAACCGCCCGCCCGCCAGGGTACTGCTACTGCGACCCGGCCTCGGGTGTCTGAAACCCTCCAGGAACCTGGTGGGGTCACCCCGGGGGACCTGTTCTGAATGAGCAGGGAGACGGGAACCAGCATTTAAAACCAACCACAGGAAGCTCTTCTTTACCCAAAGGGTGGTGGGGGTGTGGATCGAGCTGCCCAGCCGTGTTGTTGAAGCTGATACATTGGTTTCTTTCAAGAAACATCTGGGTGAGATCTGATCAATTAGCTACTACCTCCCACATGGGTTTTGAGTGGTCGAATGGCTTCCTCTCAGTTGTAACCTTCTTATTCTCTTCTGCTCATTTGTGTATCTGTGCCTGTTGCTAGACTTCTACCTTTTACAGTTACTTTCTGAAGTCAGGGGTCAGACGTTTGGTAGCCTGGGTCTGTGGCGAGGAATACTAGCCAGACGCTGCTCCTGAAGCCACTGGCGAGCTTGTAGATGGAACATCTCACGTTAACGCCACCTAAAAAGGCAAAGACAAGAAAAAAATTTGAGTTTGTTTTGTTAATGTGTGGTGTCACGCAGGTCTTGAAATCCTTGTCACGTTGCTACGAGGAAGTCAGAATCAGGTGGAACATGTCGGGACAGCACTGCTGGCACCTGTCGCTTAAGGAGAGCTGGATCGTGGGGCTTTGAAAAAAAAAGACATTCCCCAGATAAGAGCGCCACGGTTTCAGGCAGGTGTGACATGGATGCAGGCGGCCCTGCCTCTCTCCCTCCTCGGCACATGTCATTCAATAACCAGTAACAGAGCCCCCCAGAAACCCGACAAGGAAACTGGGGGCTTGTGCCATTTTGCAAGAGACTGTTCTAGGAAAGCAGAGGTGGGGGCGTTTCAAGAGAAGAGATGAAGAACCTAAACTGTACATAAAGAGTGCACATCCAAGAAAACTTTTTATACTTACAACTCAAAAGTTTTTATCTTGAAAATAAACTGGTTTTGTAGCAGGTACAGTGACGTTGGACAGATAGGACATGAGTGGATTCCTTATTCTGATTTTGACATTTCTCGCCAATAGGATTGGTCTACAGGGGGTGTACCTTGAGAGTCATATTCTGGTAGCTCTAGTATTTAATCAGGTATATCCCAGTCAGTCATGAATGATTAATTAATCAAACTGACACCAGCTTTTTATGTTGTATAGGGCATTAATTTTCTGAAAACCTCCAGAAATACACTGGTACAGCACGTTCCTTTCAGCGCTCTTCAGGGTAAGGTAATCTGACTGGTCTTATTAAACTCGTGGCTTTGCTGTTTTCCAGTGTGACACTGGCTCATTCTCCCTTCAGCGCCTGAGCCTCAGTGCTGAACAGGAGTCACATGTCTAAACCCCAACAGAAAGAGCCCAAGTATTGCTTCAGTATGTATGTGACCCCCCCTCTGCCTCAAGGATACCCACCAAATACCCCAAATTAAAACAAAATCATACAAAAGTTAAAAATAAGTTTGCGAATTGAGCAAAAAGTATCATTTGGGTGATGTAATTAGTGGAGTACTGCAGGGATCTGTACAGGGATGCCAGTACAATGAGACAGCGAGTTCAGTTTGCAGACGATACGGAATTAGGAGGACCAGCAAATATGGTGGAAACAGCAAGTGAAATCCAGAGAGGTTCAGATCAAATTCAAGACTGGGCAAACACCCGACAGATGATGTTTAATGGAGATAAGTGCATGGTATTACACGCAGGAAGTAAAAACGAAATAAAAGGCACCGCCCAATTCACTTACATCTCACAGACGACGTGGGGCAGCAATTAAGTAGGTAAACAAAATGATATAATAAGTGGTTAAAAGTGTAGAATGTAAATCAAGGGCTGTTTCAATATGTTGAAAGTGTAGAGTGTATGTGTAAGACCTCATTGAGGTATGGTTTACAGTTCTCTTTGGTCAGCTCTTCAAAGAGGTGTGAAGCCTTAGAGCTAAAACTCCTCTGTGGAGGTGACAACCGCTGATACTGTAACAGCTTCTCACCGAGCCCCCCAGAGAACTGCCTGCAAACAGGGCAGAGGATATTTCTGCAGTCACGTGGGCCTGGACGCGCATGCTTCTGGGGAGAGACTCGCGCGGCTGTAGAAAAGCTGCATGTATTTGCCTTCCTTTGCAAAACCTCCAGGCACAGTACGTCGGCGGAGAAGAAATTCTCCTTTACAAGTGACGACCTGGAGACTCACACCGTCTGCGATCCAGAGACCATTGCCACTGCTCCATGCTCACACCGGTATTAGAGTGAATAAATAAACGGCCAGCAGCCATATCACCCTG